AGGGGGTTGCCGGTGGCCCTGCGCAGGCGGTCGGCCTTGCGGCGGAGCAGGACGGCGGCGTACGTCTCGCGGGCGCAGAGGGCGTGGGCCAGGGCGAGGGCGCCGCCGAGCATGGCCATGATGTAAAAGACCCAGCGCCAGCCGAGGGCGGCGGTGATGAAGCCGCCGACGACGGGGCCGACGACGGGGCCGAGGAGCGGGCCGATGGCGAAGCAGGCCATGGCGGCGCCGCGGCGGTCCTGGCGGATCATGTCGGTGATGGAGCCGCCGCCGTTGGTGATGGGGCAGGAGCCGAAGATGCCGCTGAGGAAGCGGAAGATGATGAGGGTTGTCATGGAGGGGGCTTTGGCGCAGGCGATGACGAAGACTTTGGGGAGGGGGGGCCTTTGTCAGTTGTCTTCTTGATATTTGCCTGGGCGCGCTCGTAGAGACGACGAGGACTTACCGATGAAACCAACATTGGTAATGTTGTAGATGATGGAGCGGCCGTAGAGCTCGGAGAGCGGCGCGAAGAGCATGGGCCCGGCTGCGAAGCCCAGGACGTAGACGGAGACGCAGAAGGCGGCGAGTTCCTGGCTCGTGCTGTGGAATTCCTGCATGAGGTCGGGGACACCGGGGGCGAACATGGCTGCCAGAACAAAAGGTCAGTTTTACATGTTTAGCAAAGGTTGGGGGGAGTGGATTGAGTTTTCAGCCTCTTTTTCTGCTGGGGAACTGGGGTGTTGAGATAGTGTTTTGCTCTTACATGAAGCCAAGGGGGTGATGAAGGAGAGAGCGCTGATGAGGGCGCTATTGAGGATCTTCTTCCACGCGGGCCAGTTGTACGGGTTCTCGGGGTCGTCGTCGCCGTCCCACCACACGAGGTTGTCGTCGTCGTCGCTGGAGTGTGCATCTTGCACCAGGTGGACTTGCTTCTCGGGGTCGACTGCCGCGGGATCGTGTGGGGGTGATGAGCCGGAGGAGGAGGAGGAGGAGGAGGAGGAGGAGCGGGCGTCTCTGGAGATGGCAGTGGCCGTGGGCTCGAGGTCGAGTTTGTCGTGCAGCGGTGATATGGAGTGGGTGGACTGAGATTGAGACTCTGTGGATGAGTTGGAGGAGGCCATTGTGGCCGACTGTCGTGTTCTTTTTTTTTTCCTCGTTAGGTTAGCGGCATGGTTTGATGTTGATGAAGATGATATTCAAGGTGTTGTGTGGGTGTAAGTGCGGGTAGTAGTTGAAAGAGAGAGTTGCCGCATGAGATGTAAGTCCATGATCCCATTCCAATCCCGTCAAATCTACTACTGTTTGATGCTTCTTCACTCTATTTTTGTCTCTTTTCTTTTCTTTTCTTTTCTTTTTTGTTTGTTCCCGTGTAATCCTGCATTGGTTTCGATTCTCAAAGGGGGACGGCAGGCAAGGTCATTGGGCGTTTGCAAGGAACGTTGGATCGGGTATAAGCGGTGCGGGATCGGTATTATGCATGGAACTCGAATGGCTTTTCAGAGGGGGCTAAAGTTGAGCTTCTTCCCATACATACCTCTGAACGCTAAGCCTAATAGGCAGCACTGGCTCTCTTATGTTAATTTGCCCAGCAGAAGCTGAAGCAAAAGTCGGAGGGTGAGTGAGTGAGTGAGTGAGCAGAGTCCTGCCGTGGCTGTGAGGCCAACGCCAATGCCGGGGCTATGGGCTGCGGTTCCTCTTCAGCGGTGCATGTCCTGGGTGAGTATGAGCTCGTGTATGAAGCAAAGGGCGCTCATGTGAGGGTGCAGAGCGTCGTATGGAGTGAGGGGATAGGGAAGAAGGAGAGGTTGAAAGAGGTCGATATCAATGAGTGTAAGAAGAGTAGGAAGAAGGAGGAGAAAAGAAGCAAGCCTGGAGAAAGAGACGGAGAGGGGGTGGAGGGACTCAGATTGCGGTATACATAGCAAACAGAAAGCATGGCTCTCATCGACAGGGTCGTTTGAAAAGTACGAGACTAATGGCTAGCATGACTACCTTAGGTCAAGATGTGAGTACGAGGATTTGACCTCGTCGTTTATTCGTACAAGGCAAGACAAGAGAGAGTCAGAAAGCGGCAACTAGCGGAGACGCAAGCCACGAGAATGCGGATCTCGACCAGGGGGGGAGAGAGAGCCAGGGCTCAAAGTCGCATCGGCACTTGATTGAATCGTTGCCAGATGCCCTCTCCACGCACCATATTTCCCCATACTACATACATGTATTGCCGTAGTAACAAATACTCCGTATCTATTCTCCTCTCGGATGGATGGCAAGTTTGTCGGGAGGCACTCTGCACTACACAGAGCTGCCATACCTTACGCTTATTACCTCCATCTCGTGCTCCATAGAGAAGACTTAGCAGGGCGGGAATTGTGGTAGCGCAGCCGACTCTCTTCGCCCCGATCTCAAAGTCGGCCGCTCCCATCAGCGCCGGTGTCTTAGTAGAAGTGTCTCCATGTCTCTGTTCCTTTCACCGGCCTTCATGCACGGCTGCCGATCTCTCGAGGGTGGCATGCCAGCAAGTACTGGAGTACTTGTACATGCTTGAAGATTCTGAAGATGACTGGGAAAGGCATACACGGAATTTGGGCCTCCAATGCCGGTACTGACTCTACGAAGGGAGAAGAGATGTAATTAGGGGGCAACGTGCTTCCAGTTGAGGGCCAATTAGTACCAGCACATCTTGTTAGTGCCGTAAACCCCAGTCCGGGGTTGTCGATGGCTTCGGCGGGGTGGAGCCGGTACCTTATAAAGTACTACTACTACTACTACATGTACTAGGTACTACTACTACTCACGAGGGTGGGCTGCTTCCCTGTCAGCAGCTGGTGTACAGGCTCCGTGCTTTTGGACATGGGGAGGGGGGCGCTTGTTGGGAGGAGGGCTTTGGGGTGACGCAGGGAAGCGAGTCACTTTGGGCGGTGGACGAGATGAGCCGAAGAGGTGGTGTAGATGAAGCAGATGGATGACACGGAGGTCTTGTTTACTAGATGTTGCTGCTTGGATATCGGCAACCTGGACGTCTGAATAGTCCCGCCCTGCATCTCGTCTACGAGTAGGTGCCAGCAGCTTCTTGGCGTGCTCCAAGGAACAAGGGACTCCCTGCCCTTGAACAATCGCAATCTGATAGTATGTCACGGCCAGATTCCCGGTTCTCACAGCTTGGCACTTCTTCGAGCGGTCTACCCAAGTCCACAGCAAGATGCAGATACCTTGGTACTACTATCTACTATAAGTAAGTACAAGTCCTCTAGGTTCCTGTAGGAAGACGCAACCATGCATGTCTGGGGACCTTTTGTGCTTTCCAACAGCCGCCTGCTGAAAAGCCGAGGAGCGAGAATCGAATGCTCAGGTACTAGTAGTAACATGAAAACTCGCGCGTCATGCACATCATCGGCTGCCCTTCCTTGGACCTTCCTTTCTGCGCCCAATGAGCGGGCACACATGATCCGGAATGTGCATACAAGTCTGAATCGAGCATGTTGGCTCTAGGGTTCTGGAATCTCCGTTTGCGAGTGGTGGTAGGACTAGGAACATACATGAAGCTACCAACCAACAAGTTCATGCTATCCGCTTGTCTACCACTAACCCTTAGTACTGTACTCTTGATGGACGGGGGGTGGATGGGATTTGCTCATAGTACTATCGGGGCAGCACGAGGCCGTGGGAGTTTCTCTTCGGCTTGCAGTTTGAACAGGCCCAACGTGTGAGAAAGCGGACATGATGAATATTATCTCTCCGAGACATTCTGCCTTCAACTGCAGCGATTGGCCGAGTCGGTGTATCGTTGATAGTATTGCTCGTGCGTCCCATGTCACGGCACGGCTTGTCTCACCGGGGACGGAGCCACAAGTGCATGTATGTAGCTATCTTACCTTATGTACATGTAGTAGCCACGCCCTGACACCACCTGGCAGAGAATTTTGCCCTCTTTGTTCTTTGTTTCTTCAAGGGCGGACATGTGCGTTGCAGCAGAGGCATCAATCTCGTTTGACAAGCCACGCCGATCTCGAGCCGCAGGTCTTTATTCGGGTTTTTTCAGCTCGCTGTTGATCACATGCCGGTGAGGCCCGTGATGGCGGCCAGTCTTCTGGTGAGACACTGCGTCGTTGCGTGTTATCCGTGCTATATATAGAGATTGCGAGTTGAAAGACCGCCATCCCTTGATGAATGCTTCGAATCGGCTATTGTGAGAACGTGCATGTGGGCTCTACTATGACAGCCGGGGCAGTACTTGCTGTGTAGTAAGACCATCATGACATACAACAGAAGCTGCGGTACTCGTTGAAAACGAGTATAAGAATCAAGGTCGTATTTCGTACGGAGTAAATGCGTTCAAGTCGTACTCCGTGCTTGTGTATGACGATGCCCGTCCGTGCCGTTCAACATCCCTTCGCATGCCCAGGAAGCACGTCGAGTCTTTTCTTTGACCAACAGCACCCATCTCATACAAGTCATGGCAGCACCGCGGAGTTTGACAGAAACGGACAACGGCGTTGGCCAAATTGCTCTGTTGCACGCAACACGACGTGTGGAGGACAAGGTAAGGTAGGTATCACACTACCCGTTCGTTCAATGGGAGTCGCCCAATCTGCGTCTTTCTTCGGACGAGGTGGACTTCCGCGCCGGAGCAACTGAAAGTGCGAAAGAGGGTGGCACAGCTTCAAGTCTTGATCACGTCTCTATCAATGGTCTCAGCATGTTCGCTTTGCTAATGGATGGTGTCTGACGAATGGTATCCTTTGGATAAGTGATCTGTACGAAGCAAAGGGGGCGGCCGAAGTGTCGAGCTCGCTTGATTTGATGATTCTGAGACATGCATTTGGCTGGTTTCGCAATCCCATGGCATAAATACAAGCGCTGTGAGGCAACAACCCAGTCTTGCATCAACGTTGTCGCCCTTTTTCTGTATTCAGATTGATTACACGTCATCTTCGAGTGTAAATGGGTAGAACGCCCCTTGTGTCCAACGTGGAAGTCTTATAGTAGTCACCTTCGCCGCTGACATCCAACCGAGAGGCTCATCTCAGCAGTCTGGCACTTACCAGCCCGTCCCTGAATCTGGACAACTCCCCGAGCGTAGACTCAGCTCGTTCCTGAAGAATCTCGCATTGCAAATGAACCACCTTTGCCTCTCTCGCTGCTCTCGGGTCCTCCCTCAGCTGGTCAACCATGGCCACCACGTCCTTGACTCTCGTCACTAGCACCGTTTGAAGCTCCACGAGAACAGAAAGCAACATTGAGGCAGCCGTATTTGTAGGTGCGACGAAAGAGCCAACGCGTATTTCGGGAACCTCAAACTTGGGGTCGTAGTCTGGCGGCAGAGTTGCCACCATAAAGGCACACATCCGGCCATGCTCTGCAAGAGTGTCCATGACGTCGAGCAGACGGAGATGGCACGCCACGACGAGGTTCAGCAGCGCGTGGTCCAGCTTGGGTAGCGGCGTCGTGTGCAAGGAAGTGCGATCCTGGTGTATACAGTCCGGAACGGTGCAGAGGGCGTCGCACTCGGCGGCAGTTGTGCGCTTGTTGAACGAGGCGGATGCGGCCTCGGGATAGAGAGAGGCGAGGTCCTGGGCGTGGTGGAGGAGGCTGTCGAGGGTGGACTGCAGGTCGAAATTGGTCCCCACGGTGTCGGCGTATTCTCTCAGATGCTGCCTTGGGACGTGGTGCATGTCGAGAGATGAGGGGACGGCTTGGAGCATGCGATCAAGGGCAGACAGGAGGCTTGCGAGCCGTTCGGAGAGGGTTTGGGCCGGTGGTTGAGCCTGCCGATGCCGGCCTTGCTCCTGCTGCTGCTGCTGCTGCCCCTGCGGCTGCTCCAAGCTCATGAGATCGAGCCAGTCAAAGCTGATGCCTTGGCTATTGTGATTGTGATTGTGGCTGTGACTGCGGTCATGACTGTGGTTCAAGGGCTCGTAATGGCGGAATGGCCTCGTTGGCGGACTAAAGACACAGGCGACGTTGGCCTTTGCGCAGCGGCTGCAGCAGGGCGAGCCCGGCGATCTGGGACACCGGAGCTTCTTGTCATGGCATCGATCACATGCTTGCCGGAGGTCCATGGCGAATCAGGAAAAGGTCATGATGGTACATGTACGCGACGTGGAGAGAGGGCGAGTGTGGTCAGGTCCGACAAGACGCGGGCAGGGAAGCCGTGGGGAGCCTCCGATAGGGCCATGCTAACCTGAAGGAACTGATGACAACTCAGCCGTGGTTCATGGACGGCGAGATCGATCAGCCTGCATGGTCTGCGCATGACGGTAACGGAGTGAACTATTAGCGATGGACAGCAAGCATGCAATGTTTTATGGTTCGGTAGGTAAGTATGTAAGGCACATGTAGGTGCCAGCACTGTAGCCGAGGTGCCCATTCATCACGATAACCTTCATCAGAGAGTGACAGCTGGAGCATCTGCAACGTTCGGATTAGCGATGCGGGGCTGCTGCAGCCTGTCAGGTTCAGTGGAGCGCCCACTAATCACACCCACTAAACCAGCTGCCGACCCATCAATTACGTCGCCACTGGCAGAGCTGCCCTCGACCTCTCTCGAGGCATCTCGACTCAATCCCCTGTAGCCACGCCACCTCCCAATTTCATCAAATCCCACGATCCCAGAAGCTTCTCCAACTTTCCACCATTCGCCTTCAATCGCTTTTGCTACAAATTGCCCTCCCTGCAGCTTCGCCATGCTGGCGCTCTTCCTCACGACAGACATCCGCACCCTGTCGCTATGTCGTTGATCCCATACCAGCCTCAGGAGGGCCGCGAGATTGTACTGTGAGTTGCTCCCTCTTGGACCCTGGACCTGCACCGAATTGCTGACAGCAGATGCCGGCAGACGACATCGCAATGCCATTGTAGTCCGCGACACCAGCTCGCAGCGGCTGGAGATCCGTGGCCATCCCGAATGCCCGACATGCCACCGCCCGCTGGGGTCGCCGACGGAGCGCCCCTTCGACCACCAGTATGACGTCGATCCCAACCCGTACGTCGACCCGGGCTACTTTCGCATGCTTCGCGCCGGAAGCGTCGAGTCGAACCCCGCCGAACACACACCGTCGAGCCTCATCCGCCGCCTGTTCAGGCCTCCGCCGAGTGCGCGCGGCTCGTCAGCGCGCACGTCGCCCTCTGTAGACGACGAAGCCGAGTTTGTCTCCAGCACGCCGGGCGTGCCGCAGTCCGAAGGAAGCAGGATAAAAAGGGAGGCCTTCAGTCCCAACTATTTCAAGACGTTCTTTGTGGAGGAGAAGGTCCTGGGCAAGGGCGGCAAGGGAGTGGTGCTGCTGGTGCGGCATGAGATTGACGGCTGCCACCTGGGCCACTTTGCCTGCAAGCGAGTTCCCGTTGGCGATGACCATGCGTGGCTCGAAAAGGTGCTGATCGAGGTTGAGCTCCTTGCCAAGCTCTCTCATGTCAACCTTGTTTCGTATCGACATGTCTGGTTGGAGGATGTCAAGTTGACCATGTTTGGGCCCAGCGTGGCCTGCGCCTTCATTCTCCAACAGTACTGCAACGGAGGCGACCTTCACCAATATGTGCTTGGCAATATGCCAAAGGAGGTGACCAAGGAGGAGCTCAAGGAGCGTATTCGCCGGCGCTCGCGAGGTCAGATTGATGTGTCTCGGGACAGCCTTTCGGACAAGGCTAGGCTGCCCGTGGAAGAGATTTACTCCCTGTTCAAGGATATCACGTCCGGCGTGGCATATCTGCATTCGGCAAACTACATCCATCGAGACCTCAAGCCGAGCAACTGCCTCTTGCACCGAGAGGGCGGCAAGTTGCGCTGTCTCATCAGCGACTTTGGCGAAGTCCAGCCGGAGCATGTGGTGAGGAAATCGACTGGCACGACGGGCACCATCTCGTACTGCGCGCCCGAGGTTCTTCGCCTGGACGAGACGGGCCATTATGGAAACTTTACCACCAAGTCCGACATCTTCTCCCTCGGAATGATCCTCTACTTCATGTGCTTTGGCAGGCTCCCCTATGAATCTGCAAACGCCGTTCAGGAGGAGCTGGAAGACGTCGACCAGCTCAGAGCCGAGATTGCTGACTGGACGGGCTTCCAAGATGAGCGGCGCGAGCGGCCGGATCTGCCCTCGAAGCTCTACATGCTGCTCAAGAAGCTGCTTGCGCTCGATCCCGCCGAGAGACCCAGCGCCAACGAGGTTTTGAACGCCATGAAGAGCGAAGCCTACTTTGACGGAATGACCAAAGACCGCAGCGCGAGCCCAGCCGTTGCTGGGCTGCGAGGAAGCAGGGTCCAGAACCTGGACTCACCAGCCGGGCCCAGCACGCCGACGCCAGGTAAGTCTATCTAACCCGCATTCCTGACAGCACTTGATCTTATAGTACAACAGATCCCAGACGTGGCTATCACTCCCGCAGCCTTAGCGTGCCTCAGAGTGATGCCGCCGCCGCCGCCACGTGGCCAGCTGCCGTCCCCCGGGACGACGACCTCTTGCAAGACGATTCTGGCCTCGTCCATGCCGACCCGGAGCCCTCCAACGCGATAGTCAAAAGCCGTAGCCATGACCCGCATGCCCTTGAGCCAGTGGACCAGAGAAACTCTACCCTACAAGCCAACGGCCACGCGCATCCTGTTGAAGGAGGGCCCCTCCTCCTCGCACCGCCTCCGCAGCAGTTCTCCGCGATACCGCATGGAGCAGGCCTTTTCCTGATGCGCTTCTGCGCCGTCACAGGCGTCACCCCAGACACCGTAAAGTACCTCGGCCGCCTCGGCTTGTTCCTCGTCAAGCTCGCCACCCTGGTCCGGCCATGCTGGCCCTACATGACCACGCTCGAGGTCGGCGGGCCCCTGGTGCTGCTCGCCGTGCTGGACCTGGGGCTCCCGACGAGCGAGCGCAACAGCGCCGCCTCCTCCTCCGTCGCCACCATCCGCACCACCGGCAATGTCGCGCTTGGTCGGCGGCGCCCGAGCCACGGCGAGCTGGCGACGAGCCTGTTCCGCCAGACGGGCGTGGGGACGAGGCTCTTGTTCCTGGTGCTGCATCTGGCTGTCGTCTGGGAGGCTGCTCGCCGGGAGGCGCTTTGCGTTGCTGTTCCGCGTGATGAGTGGGATGGCTGGTAAAACTTTTATTCCTTTTTTTTTGATCCCGTCTCGAACAGGGATCATCTCATTCATAACTTGTAATTGTAACAGAGGGAAAAAGGACAAAGTGAGTGAACATGGGCACAAAAAAGCACGATGGGTAGGTTTGATGTGAAACTGATTGCCGACTACCGGACACAATAGATTTAGCCAACAAATGAGATATCCATATACTCCAACAAGAGATTGAAAAACATTCAGAAAGATCCACAGACCTCGAGGCGACCATTGGAAGCCGCTCACGGAACCTCAAGACTACGGGGGCATGGCACAGACAGCGCTGGCAAGCCCTACATTTTCATCGCCCCCTTTACCCCAAACCTCCTCCTCCTTGCCATCTCAACACTAGCCAAAGACTCACCACTCTGCGTCCAATTACCCACACTCTCTCCTCCTCTTAAAGACGACTCGGCAGCAGCAGGATTGAGCCTCCTCCCACCTGTAATGCTGCCAAATCCGAAATCGGGTTGCCCGCCCAAACTGCCAAAGATGTCGCCAATGTAGTTTGAGGGCGCGATGCCCCGCGCAAAGGTGCAGTCCCAGTCGTCGAGGATGCCGCGGACGACTTCGATGCCCGCGGCGTAGAGGTTGGCGATGGCGATGTGGAACCCGTTCTGGTCTGTGTGCGTGAGGTGTTCCCAGTCGGAGCGGGAGGGGGGAGGACGGTCAAAGTTGGAGCCTGTGCTGTGAGTTAGGTGGGGGGGTTGCTATATGATCCTGGTAATGTAGACGAAAGATTTATGTGCTGATGCTACCTACACGTGCAAGTGTAGGTAGGAATACATCTTGGTACGTGGCGAGGTCTATGTGGAAGTTGATATAAAGGGGCAACAGTAGACTCACCTGTCCGCATGGCAATGACACGACTGAAATCAACCAGCCCCTCAATCGCCGCCCGCACCAGCACCTCCAGCGTCGCATTGTCCTCCTGCGCGCTCATGCAATACACGCCCGTCCCATTGGTCCACAGGGCCGTCGTGTTCTCAAACGCTTGGGCAAGCCGGCCTCCTGAGTAGTAGACGTCGCTCGTGGCGCTGTCACACTTGACCACGCTGGGGGGCATCACGGCCGTGCTGTACGACGAGCCCATGTCTGAGTACAGGAGACGGTATCTTTGCGGCTCGCGGTCGTCTCGGAGCTGCGCCCGTTGGGCAAAGGCATGAGCGGCGTCACGCAGGTCCGTGTTGAGCTCAAAGACTTCGGTGCCGTATGTGATGCAAGGATATTCAAAGGGATGGGCGCGGCCATAGGGGATGTAGCCCGTGAGCCAGTCGTCAGGCAGAGATCGAGAGTCGATTTCGTATTGGAGAGCAACCTGGACGGCATACCGAGCAAATGCCGCGCTGCCAATGGTCGCGTACCGAGGATTGACACCTGCGATACCGGCAAGGAGAAAGTACGTCTGCGTCAAGTTGAAGCTGCCGGAGAGGACGAGGGCGGTCATGGAGACGGCCGAGTTGATTTCGCCCTCGCTGACGGTCAGCTGGCAGACGCTGCCTGTTTCCGTACAAAAAACCCGCGGGAAGAGCATGGAGAGGCCCGGAGTGGCGATGGCTTGCGACGTGAGGGTTCCCAGGCCGGACTGGGGAAAGTTATTGTACCATACCTGGGCTTCAGGCTCGAACTGAGCATATACTGTTAGTTGAGAAGGACTAGAGATGGATTTGGACCGTGAATGACAGGGCTAAAACGCGGAGACTACATACCATAGATACAATCATCACCTTTGGTGATATTATATCAGCGGCAGGAGGCTGGGCATTGGCAGCCAGAACAAAGGCCGTCGCTGTGAGAACCATGGCCGGGCACAACGTGAGAAACATCGTGACAGCGTAAGCAACCCGGTCGATGCCTGAGTTGGAGAAGCACAAGCCCATCCATAAAGCCGGGCGGGATATCGGACGGCATGGACTTATACTTTAGACTTTGAAGCTTAAAGTCAGACTCATAGTGAATAAGCTTCGACTTCAGCAGCAGTGATATGAAGATGCCGTGTCTTGTGTAATGCCGATATCCGCGAGCTTCACTCGGCTTGCTTTTGTTTCCAACAGCTCCATTGTTCACCACCCAGGCTGGGGGCAAGTCCCGAGGGCCCGGATCATGATGGACGGCTCATCTGGTTTGGCAGCATTCTACCGAGAATGACTGAAACAAGGTCGATGCTTTTGAAACATGCATAGGAAGGGCAGCCGAAGGTATGCTGCCTCTGTGCAGTGTTGTATCTTCCAAGAGCGGTTCGGGGTGCAATTTTGCTGCCTGGCCACTTACTTCTTTGCTTGAATCATGTCTGTAGCGCTGTTTGCCTGGAACTCCATGTAGATAGCGTTAAGACTCCTCTTCACAGTGAGTGTGATGAGACGTGCGAGCAAACAGAGCATCTTTACCCGTAGATCAGTCTCAGTCTAGGAAGCTTGCTTAACCAAGATAAGGACCTGTAGACGAAGCTGCTCACAATGACCAGCTGAAGACGCCTAGAATGATAGAAATGCAGACAACAGCCAAAGTTTGGCTCGGATCAGCCGCCGAAGAGAGACCATAAGACCATCACGTCTCAGCTGAAGCCGGTCAGTGACTCTGCGACAGCGCCTGTTGGAAAGCAAACCCGGGAAATCAACATGCTCTACAGATAAGCGGCTGCCGCAATGCAGAGCCGGCTGCAATCGTGAGAAGCTGGGAGATGGGAGTCGGGGCTCTTTGTTCGTTGCCATTGTGCTGTGTAACCATATGGGGGCGTGATCTAGCGACTGTCTCGGGGGAGAAGCGATTGAGATCCAGCGAGAGGCCGCAATCGACAGGACACGGCTACTCTCATTGGCTCCCCGCGGAGGATGTCCACTGTGCTCGGTATTCGGAGACTGCTGTGGTGAACGGCATATGCAATTGCGCGCCCAGACCGCCCGTCAGCGTGGCAGAGCGTTGATGTTACTGGCCCTTTGGGAAGCCTCATAACAATGCCTTTGCGGGCTGGGTTTGCTGCGACATGTATATTCTCAAAAGGAGAGCTCCGGTGTCTTCCGCATCTTCTCGTCTCCCACACGGCGAGGCATGATGACATGCTCATCTGCCCGTTTTCGGGCTGGGCGCTGTGCCTCGGAGATGTGCGGAGGGCTGTGTAAGCGCCAAGCAGCTTGGCTGTGGTGTCGTGATTCCCCTATGGAGTGACCCGGGATGATCCATATTGGCTTCTGTTGGTCCATGCACTGTGATTTCTAGCTGTTGAAACCAGGGAACAAAGGCTGTCGAGCGACTTCAAGATTTTGCGTCTTTCTCATCTTCCTCTTTCTTTCCCCTTCGTCCTCGACTGTCCCAACACAATGGAACAAGCTGCTCCTGATAGAAACGCGCGGAGCTTCGGACAATTGGCCCAGCGGGATGGCGTTTTGGTGTAGTTGGTGTCGTTAGCTCAACATTGATGTGCTCGATCGGCGGGAGGATCCAATCGTATCGAGGCGTCGCTGTCGAAAGACAAAGGCGCCAGAAATCCGGGTCTCCCTGGTGGGCGGCCCTAATGGCAAGCCACGCCGCGGCGGGCTGACGGCTTTGCGCCTTCTTTCATTCAGACCGATGGGGCACTGCAAGGCTCGAGTGATCACAAGTCGCTACTCGGGAGTCTGTATGGAGTACTCCATATTAGCAGAACAGACATGTGGAGTTGCGAAAGTCTATCCCGGCCAAGAGTGTGGAACGGCCTGCCTGCTGTCTCCCCAGTGGCTCGGATGACTCCACGAGAACCGGTGGTACCGGCACTCACTCTGCACGAAAGGACCCAATGGAAACACCACGAGTGTCGTTCGAAAGATGGCTTGGACTGCGTGAGAACGCCTTTGTCGATACGATTGTGGCCGAGGGCCGCCGGCAATGTGGAAGAAGCCGTCTCGCTGATGCTAAACAAGCCGAAGCCGATTGGGGGCCAAATAGCTCGATTGTCTGGCTCCATTTCAGATCGACTCCGCGAACCTGTTCGTAGGGCTTGCTATCGTCTAGACAATCGTCGTCATCTGATACTATATGTATGGAGTCTTTGATGATTGACACTCGCCGAGATAAGTATCGACAGGACTCTCGGAAGGATTCGCAGGGCAGTCAAGCCGCAGCATCTTTGATTGGGCTGAGTGGCCATTGACTGCGAGACCCGACTTTTGTCCTCGATGGATTGGCTGAGAACGGGCCTGCCAAGATCAAGAGGGACTGCTTGTGTATGGAGTTCCTTTCGCGGTTGACGTGCCCGAGTGGAGAGAGCCGGCAGCCGAAGACGCGGCCCTCTCCTGTCGTTCGATGTCACAGTTTGTTGGCCATCTCGATGCTGCGGGATGCTTCTGACGAAGGAAGATCCTGGAAGCTGCAGGGCGCTGTAATTCCGTGGTTAGGAGGACGACAGGGTATTGAGATGGTAATAGGAATGGCGAGAGATGGAGAGAAGCATGAATGATCCCCATCGCTGGAGGTTCGTCAATCTGAATCCTTGCAGCCTCACTCCAGCAGCGGCTTGGCATCTGTCACTCAGTGGCGGCTTAAGCTGCTTAGTGGCTTCGCAGCGCCTGACTCGCCTAAGCTCCAGCGGGCTTAGCTCCCTGTGGCGGCCTGCCCGGCCCCGGCGCCGCAGCGTGGAGCGCTGTAAATCCCCCCCATGGCGTCGCCTGCCTCATCAGAGGGTGGATCCCGGGGCGGACCTCGAAGAAAAAAGAGACAGCAGGGCCTGGGGTCACCATTTATTATTGCTGGCGGTCCCCATCGCCATCACATGGGATTCGCAACTCCCCGCTGCCGACAACAGCGTCAAGAGATGCCCTCGGAGGAACCCGGCCCTGCCATCTGGGCTCCCGCACATGGACGACGAACTCATCACGCCCGTCTCGCCGACGCGCCACCATGACCATGTCAATGTCGATGTCGATGCCGAGGCCGGCAAGCAGGCGACGCAGCTGGTCGCCGAGCTCGAGGCGGAGGGGCCGCTGCCGGCAAACAACTTCGCCTTCACCCCGTCGCAGTTGCACAGGCTGCTGAAGCAGAGGAGTCTTGCAGCTCTTGAGGCCTTTGGCGGGCTCAGCGGCCTTGTCCTGGGTCTGCGGACGGACATTGGCGCGGGTCTCAGCGCTGACGAGGCCAATCTCGATGGCACAATCACTTTCGACGAGGCCGTTGCCGCGGCTCGTGAGCATCGTCAGCCGGTTCTCTCCCCCGTTGAGGAGCCGGTCGCTGTTCCAGGCTTGGCTTTCCCGAGAAGCGAAGCACATCATCAGTTCGTCGATAGGAGACGCATCTTTGGCGCCAACCGACTGCCTCGACGCCGGCAAAAGTCGTTTCTCAAGCTCATGTGGATTGCCTTCAACGACAAGCTCATTATCCTGCTTACCGTCTCGGCCTGTATATCCCTTGCCATCGGCCTTTACCAGTCTCTCACAGCCGACGAGGACACATCGAACATCGAGTGGGTAGACGGGGTGACGGTGGTGGCCGCCATCGTCGTCATCGTCCTTGCCAGCGCCGCCACCGACTGGCAAAAGAACCACCGGTTCGAGAAGCTTAACGAGCGACAGCAGCAGCGTGAAGTGACGGTCCTCCGCTCCGGCAGGATCCAGCAGATTTCTATATACGATGTCATGGTGGGGGACGTCCTGCATATCGAGGCCGGCGAGGTCGTGGCCGCCGACGGTGTGCTGATCGAGGGGTCCAGCTTATACATCGATGAGTCGTCCATCACGGGGGAGACTCAGCTGGTCCGCAAGACGGCTTCGACGGACCGCAGTCGCTCTCGAGCTGTCCAACCAGATCCCTTCATCTTCAGCGGCACCACAGTCTGTCGCGGCGTTGGCCGCTTTCTGGTCCTTTCAGTTGGAGAATACTCGAACCACGGGATGACGCTCATGTCGTTGCGAGAGGACGTGGAGGAGACGCCTCTCCAGGCGAAACTGGGCAGGCTGGGTAAGCAGCTCATCCTGTTTGGTGCCGTTGCTGGCGCCGTCTACTTTTTCATCCTCTTTATCCGGTTCCTCGTTCGACTTCCTCAGTACAAGCATGCCCGGCCAACCCAGAAGGCCGAGGCCTTTCTTCATATCGTCATGCTTGCCGTCACTATCGTAGTCATCACCGTTCCAGAGGGCCTGGCGCTCAACGTCACCATCGCCCTTGCGTTTGCAACCACGAGAATGCTCAAGGACCACAACCTCGTTCGTCTTATTCGGTCGTGTGAGATCATGGGCAATGCCACGTCCATCTGCTCGGACAAAACAGGTACTCTGACCCAGAACAAGATGGCCGTGGTTGCCGGCCGCGTCGGGCTTGAAAGCGGCTTCGAGGAGTTCGAGATCCCCGTTACTGGTGCGAGCTCCAGTGGTTCCTCTTCGGTGGTGAAGCTTCCCTCGGCCAGGCAATTCATGTCGACCGTCTCTCCTCAAGTCGAGAGGTTGATCAAGGAAAGCATAGCCCTCAATTCCACCGCCTTTGAGAGAGATGACTCTGCAGGAGCCGAGTTCGTTGGATCCAGCACCGAGACGGCTCTGCTCAAATTTGGTCGAGATCACTTGGGCATGGGAAGGCTCGGGGAAGAACGAGCCAACACCCCGGTCGTTACCATGCTTCCGTTTGATTCTGCGCGGAAATGGATGGCCGTCTTGCTCAAGCTGCCCAACGGCAGATACCGGCTGTTGGTTAAAGGAGCTGCTGAAATAGTGTTTGAGTACTGTGCCTTTATAGTGTCCGACCCGACGTACCAAGTCACCATTGCCCGGCTCGAGGAACCGGACAGGGCGAGCTTTCGCAAAACGATCCACGACTATGCGGTCAACATGCTTCGCCCGGTTGCTATCAGCTTCCGCGACTTTGACGAGAACGAGGTATTCGAGCACCCAGACGACGATCCGGCCTCTATCAACCTGGAATGGCTAGCTTCGGGCATGGTCTTCATCGGCTTCTTTGGGATTCGCGATCCGCTTCGGCCGGAAGTCGTTGGCTCCGTCCGCAAGTGTCAAGATGCCGGCGTCTTCGTGCGCATGGTCACTGGCGACAACTTCCTCACTGCAAAGGCTATAGCAGCAGAATGTGGCATATACACCCCTGGCGGCGTTGCCATGGACGGGGCAACTTTCAGGAGGCTGACGCCCTCACAGCGTGATGCCATCATCCCCCGCCTGCAGGTGCTGGCGAGGTCCAGTCCCGAGGATAAGCTGCTGCTCGTAACACGCCTGCGAGAGATGAGGGAGACGGTGGCCGTCACTGGCGACGGAACAAATGATGCGCTTGCTCTCAAGGCGGCTGATGTCGGCTTTGCCATGGGTCTGCAGGGCACCGAGGTGGCCAAGGAAGCTGCTTCCATCATTCTTCTTGACGACAACTTTGCATCCATAGTCAGGGCCCTGAGCTGGGGCCGGACAGTCAACGATGCCGTCAAGAAGTTTATTCAGGTAAGAGCATACTCCTTGTTGATCTCTGAGCCTCTATTCAAGGTCACGGCTGACCATCTTGCAGTTTCAATTTACCATCAACATCACCGCAGGCATCACCACAATCATATCAGAACTCATTGGTGATTCGATATTCACCGTTGTACAGCTACTCTGGATCAACCTCATCATGGACATCTTCGCCTCTCTCGCGTTTGCTACCGACCATCCCTCACCGGATTTCCTGATGCGGAAACCCGAGCCTCGCAATACGCCGATTGTGAGCATCACCATGTGGAAGATGATCGCCGGTCAATCCATTTACCAGCTGTTGGTTGTGTTTTTAGTGCACTATGTGGGCTGGGATCTATTTAATCCGGGCACTGAGCATGAAATCGAAAAGCTGCAGACGCTTGTGTTCAACATTTATGTTTGGATGCAGTTCTTCAACCAGCACAACTGCCGGCGAGTGGACAACAAATTAGATATCTGGTACCAAGGGATTCTCAAGAATCCGTGGTTCATTGGCGTACAGCTTCTGACGATCCTCGGCCAGTTCCTCATCATCTTTAAGGGAGGCGAAGCTTTTGATACGAAGCCGTTGACGGGAGCTCAGTGGGGATGGAGCCTCTTGTTTGGCAGCCTGACGATTCCGCTCGGTGCCCTCATCCGTCAAGTGCCTGATGGGTTGGTCTTGGAGTTGTTCCGCCTCGTGAAGAAGCTCTTCCTTTTCATCACTACTCCAATTCGGAATATCTGGGCGTTGATTTTTGCCAGAAGAGAAGCGAGGCCCGGTGATGCCTCTCAAGAAGAGCTGGGATCTGTAGACACCTCGGCCGTTTTATCCAGCAACACTTTGGTCCACCAGAAGGACTCGTCGGCAAACCGAATCACTTCAGACACCGAGTCACAACCTACCATCAACGACAACGGAAGCAGTAGTGTACTTGAAAACTCTGCAACAGCTTCCATGTCCGAAAAGATGGAGATTGACCTGCAAGCGCTGATTGACGCCGCGAAACTGGGCCGACTGGCGGACAAGGAGATGTTCGAGATTCACCCACGCACGCTGAAGAACGATCCAATCCTCACACCACGGTCAGACTTGAACATTCCGCCAAGTCAAGACCCGTATATCCTCCGATACTTTATCAGGACCAAGAGGGGCGATGCCCGCGGCTCCATCAGCAGATCATCGGTTCGCAGGCCTACGGTGCCTGCTCGGGCTACCTGGGTTGAGCCGAGGCGACCGGCTCCTGCTAGAACCAGACAGCAGCAGCAGCCGAATCGACGGGACTGGATCTCTTGGGAGGGGTTGCTCAGGTCGAAGAGGCGATGAAAGGTTGTGGACTGCCCGCCCTCTTACACATTGGGCTTTTACACCGTTTTGCTCTCGGTTTTTTTTTTTTTTTTTTTTTTTCACTTAATCCTTCCCTTGGTCATGTTGAACTGAGGGGTTATGATTTGACGCATCTTCTTATTTTCCCCCTTTTTTTGCTGCTCAATGAGCTTGAATCAACCGGCGCCGGCGAAACGATCATAGGCATACACTATTACACACCCATACATATATACATGTCTTGGCAAACGGACGTTGGAAATGGGCGAATTGCATTGCTATATGCTACTCCGGAATACATATAATGTCTTTCTCTCTCCCCCCTGTTACGTTCTAGATTTACGATTGAAATGGGAAGGATGAGGTTGGAAAGGAAAGTTCTCATGAAAGGACGATATATATATATATACATATTCTGGGTGTGTTACACATTGGCATTGGGGGATGTCAATAGAGGTTATCGGGATGTCAACGTTTATCAAGAGTGTACACGATGTTATTTCACGGATTCCAAGAATATAATATATCCTGACTTGATATTTTGACTACATGCATTCATTCTGTCTAGCTAAATCGCCTTATGCGTTGAAATGGGAACGTAAATAATTTGGCATTGAAAAAGGTAAGGGGAAGCAAGTTCAAAATCAAGACTTCTCCCCGCCATGCCAATCCCCCTTACTAACAAGATGTCTGAACGAGCCCCTCGCCTTCATCAGCTCCTCGTAGCTCCCCTCCTCCACTTTCACGCCCCCATCAATCACAACGATGTTGTCGCATATCCGCATCATCTCAGGCGTGTGCGTAACCATGACAATCGCCATCTCCCCCTCCGGCTCCGTCGTCGTCGTCGTCGTCCTCGCCCTAGCCACGAGCTCTGAAATCGTCCCCCTAATCATTCCCGAACACTCCGCGTCGAGCGCGCTCGTCGGCTCATCCAGGACCAAGAGCCGCGGCTGGCGGACAAGCGCGCGGGCGATGCTCAGGCGCTGCGCCTGGCCCCCTGAAAGAGCGATGCCGCCTTCGCCGATGGGGGTGGCGTACCCCTGGGGCAGGGAGACGATGAAGTCGTGGATGCCGGCTGCTTTGGCGGCGGCGTGGGTGTTGTTGCGGAGGGGGGAGGAGGGGGGGAGGCCGTAGGCGATGTTCTCGGTGATGGAGGTGGGGAAGAGGTGCGGCGTTTGCGAGACGTAGGCCATGTGGGAGCGGAGATGGTGCGTGTTGAGGGCGGAAGAAGGGACGCCGGCGTATGTGAGCGAGGATGCTGTGTCGTTTGAAGGGCGGTAGAGACCCATGAGGAGGGATATAAGGGTGGATTTGCCAGAGCCGGAGGAGCCGACGACGGCGGTGCAGCTCCCGGGCGTAATGTCAAAGGATATTCCGCGGAGAACTTGCGCGTTGGGAGACTGGGAGTACGCAAATTCCACGTCCCTGAGCTGAATGGGCAAAGGGTTCGAGATCTTTGTTCTTCCTTGGCCTTCTTCTTCGGGTTCGATGGGCATCGTCACGTAACCTAGCAGCCGTACCGCGGTTGCTTGGGCCATTGTCAGCTGAGGCATGCCATCCAAAGCACCGGCCGACATGCCGATACTGAACAGCAGCAGGTTGATGACCTGCAGCATCTGCGTGAGAGTCACGCCGTCACTGCGAGTCAGTAGCACCGTAGCATAATAGAACACCAGCGCCGTCATGGGGAAGCTCATGGACTCGTATAGCCCAAACAATCCGCAAGTATAACCTGCCCTCCGCTTACCCAGGCCGAGGACATGCGTAATCAGTTTCTGGTACTTTGCACTGAAATATTTCTCAAGGTTCAGTGCTCGCACGACACGGATGTTGACAAAGGTCTCATTGAGAAGCGCGCCGGCATCTGTCGCCCCCTGGTTGCATCTCGTTTCCCACTTTTCGCTGAGAACGGCGTATCCCTTGACGGCTCCCGCGATCAGGGGCAAGGGTGAGAGGGCGACAAGTGTGAGCTTCCAGGATACTGTAAGCGCCCATATCACAGATATCGAGATCATGCCAAAAGCACTAATGAAGAGGGGAATGAATCGCCCGACAATGTTTCGCGTCTCTTCCGAGTCCCTGTCAAGACATTCATTGATTCGACTAGCCGAGTTCGCTTCCTTGTCAAACCACGACTTGGGCTGCTGCAGGATTTTCTTCAGAGCCTCCAAGCGAAGAGCAGTCACCCAAGACTGGCCGGTTCTCTCGAGCATGTAGTGGCCAAAAGCAGTGGAAGTACCATCAAGGATTCCTGTAGCCATCAGATACAATGCCCACTTCTTCGCTTCAGCCGCCCTGTTGTCTGGAAGCCACAGCACCCCGAACAGCTGTGAGAGACAGAATGAAAACATGGGCGTTGCCGCAGCACTGATGATGCACACCACGATCCCGGTGATAAAAATTGCTCGATCGGATGCCGTGAGAGTTGGCCAAACAGTACCTAGTGTGGATAGCAGGGTGCTCGGCTTGGAGGTTCCGTTGTTCCTGATGATCTCCTCGTCCATGGTTGGGGGTTCACGGCCGGCAGCGAGGCGCAGGCCAGGGATATCCTCTCGGCGTTCCGCTTTGCCAAAGACATAGAATAGGTCATCTGTGTTGTATCCTGAATCGTCAAAGAGATCTATCTTGTAGTAGTCGCTGTCTGGAGAAGGCGTGCGACCAGGCTCCGGGGCACTGCATCTGCGAGGTGATTCCAGTAACTCGTCAGTGGAGTTGGAAGACTTTCTCTTCTCAGCTTCGCAAAAAGATCCGAATCTGCCAGGTTTCCTGGGCTCTCCTTCGACATCGGAGCCTTCCCATATCTGCTTCTTCCTCATTTCCAAGGCAACCGCTGTGCCAGCTCCCAGCGCCTTATACTGAGAGAACCGTTTCCGGGCAGGGTCTGCCATGTCGCTGTTGAGCTCTTTAAGCGGAAAACTCGTTATGGATTGTGTCTTGTTATGGGAGAGTTCGGACATCGCCGAGGTTCTACGGCTGGTCGAGCTGAGCAAACCATGTGCGGTTCGTTCCATCTGAATCGGTATAGCAGACCTTGCTTCGACGGGAGCCAGGCGAGATAAAGTTGCGAATGGCCCCGATGAAAGCGTGTCCAGCTCTTTCCGTAACCCTTGTTGCACCAGAGAAGCGTTCTCCATGACGTAGACATAGTCTTCATCTTCGACTTGATCAATATCATGTGTGATGATGATGGTGGTTTTTTCTCGGCGCCACTCCCTGATAGCATCAATCACCAGGCCCCGGTTAATCTGATCCAGACTGCTCGTCACTTCATCAAGAATCAGGACAGTCGGATCTCGAACTCTTGCCCGAGCAAGTGCAAGTCTCTGTATTTGGCCCCCACTCAGCTGAATTCCAGTTGGACCGATGCGTGTTTCGATACCTTCGGGAAGGCTGCTAATTGTGGACTGTAGTAATGCAAATTCGCAAGCAGATGCAACATCTTCTTTAGATACCTTTTCCGGGTCGCCGAGGCTAATGGCAACATTGTTGAAGACACTATTGTCAAACAAGACGCTCAACTGCTGAATGAGAGTAACATTGGATCGAACCCAATCGGCATCCAGAGTCGTCAAGGGATGCCCATCTAAGCAGACAATCCCCGACGAAGGATTGTAGAATTGGGCAATAAGATTTCCGATGGTGCTCTTCCCAGATCCGCTTCTTCCCACAATAAAGGTGAGCTGGCCTGGCAAGAAGGACAAGGATGATCTATTGAGGACCGTCTTTGTGGGATTCGACGGATAGGCGAATGTGACCTGCGGGAGACTATCGTCAGTATTCATAACAGGAAGTTGGCACTAGATTATACAAACATCAACCAAGTCCACCTTTCCGACACAGGCCTCCGGCCGGATCTGGCCCCTTTCCGTATTGGCCGCCTCGTCATCACGCTTGTTCGATAAGGATGAAAGGAATGACCCTGCTGACATGCCTTTTGACAGAACCAGCCAGTGTGGGAGTAAAGCCTCGACTCCCTGGAATGCCGAAAGGGTTGCGAAAAAGGTAGTGATGACATGGCCAGGGCTCAGTCCTTGGTCGACGAGGATGGTGCCGTACCAGAAGGCCGCGACGAACATGCCAATGACCCAGAAGGCGACATAGCCCATCTGAAAGCAATTGCACTTGGCTTGGACGAGATATTGGTTGCTAGCCAGCTTGGTTGCCTCGTAATACTGCCCGAGCTCACGATCGACTCCGTTGAAGATTTTGACAATCTCGATTGCTTTTATAGAAGAGGTAGCAAACTTTGACGCGGTCTCTTGATGATGCTTCTGAGCTTGGATTGCCGGGTCCAGCCGGTGAGTTGCCAGCGACATGACGACCATGGAAATTGGTAGGGTTGCGACGAGAACCAGAGTGAGCTTCCAGGAATAAGACAAGGCGATAGCGAGCGAAGCGATGGAAACAATCAGATCTGTGACCAGCAATCCGAGAACCTGAGACGTCGCCAGTTGAAGCTCCCGAGTCTGACTACTTTGCAGTTAGCATCTGCTCTTGCGCTTGACAGCATGGAGGGTCGTAAACTTGCGTCTGTATTCTGACCAGCAGACTAGAGATGCCCTGGTCTAACGAGTCGTACCATGACATCTCCTTGGACAACAGACTTTCAAAGATTTCTTTTCGAGCACAGTTGGCTTGCAGTTCGCCGAAAATGACCCATAGCAATAGGAGTGCCGTAGTTGCGAGCCAATTGGCAGCCCCCATGCCCAGCAGGACCAGAGCCCAGCGAGCTACGTTGCTCAGAGTCTCACTGCCAGAACCATGGCCAGCCCCAAAGTCGGAGACAGCGTCGAAGATTTTGCCCAAGACCACAGATAGAACTGATTTGACCGAGGCAAATGCGGCAGACGCAACCAGAGCCGCAAGTAGCGACGCCGTGTGATTCCATCTCGTAAAGGAGAAGAGGTGCTTGAAAGAGGAGCGTTGGGGCTTAGACTTGGATTCGGTGGCTTGAGAAGTGCTGGAGGGATTAGCATCAAGTAAAAGTGTCGAATTGATCGTCGAGACCGGTGCAAACGCCGTCTCTTTATCTTTTGAAGCCATCACATGGAGGTCTCGGGAGCAGCTGGATAGAGAAGCATTGGATCCTTGGCACAAGGAAGGCGAAGAGGTTGGAGATATCACGAAGGGAAAGTAAAAAAGCCATGATTTTCAGAGCCAATAGAGATGGATTTGTCTGTCGCCATGAAGTGACTTGAAGATGAGAAGATGATCCAACATGGATCAGCCTGTATGAGGACAATGCAGAGAGTCGGCATCGTTGTGGGGAAGTGAAGCTTGAAGGCGCCATTGTTCGGCCTCCAGCTTGATATTGTTCGCGAGAGGCGACTGACAACCAACGCCGCCACCACAGAGGAGACGGGCCACGCAGGAATGTCAGCTGTATATATTTGAGATGCAAAACAGCTGTTGGACAAGGCGAAAGGTCGCCGCAGGGATTCGATCTGGAGCAGTTGCCTCACTCGAGTCTGTGCTGCTGCCACATCGTCGCATTGCCATCGTCACCGATTGAACAGCAGTGCCTTGCATCTCCAGCCCTCTTCATCGATCCCACATTCCAAAGGCGCATAGCGGACCAAGCGCTCGTGGAGGAACAAGCCTCAGCGGCAGCGTCCATCCATGAAGGCTACAATATGAACGCCAGACCATCCGGCGGATCGGAGAGCTGTCGTCGGACTCCGGGAATCGGTACGATATCCGCCGTCAGCAGCACCGAGTCATACGATCTCACATTGATTGGCCACGTGTGTTGGGAGAAAAGAGGACTGAGGCAACAGAGGCAAAATGAGTGCAGTTGGGAGATCGGATGGTTGCTCGAACGGACAAGAAGGTTCAGGAACGAACTACTTACTGTGCGAGCAGCACAGTCATGCTATGTCGCACACACTGTCCTGACCTCATCATGCCCCTCCATAAGTACCTACTTGCCTATGACTTGCAGCCCCACGCTCGAGATTTTGGATTTTGCGATAACACTTTGAGCTCTACCAACTTGGATATCGCGATACAAACAATCTACAGCATTCAACAACAACCGCCACAATGGATCCCTTAGAGAGCATGTCGACCGGAGGTCCTCTGCCCAAGGACTTCAACGCCGAAGATGCCGGCAACATGGAGGATGTGCGTCTATCTTCCCGTTAAGCAATGGAGCTGTTGTTACGCCATGGAGCTGTGAAGCATGCAAGGCATTTCGCTGACACAAGACCCTTGGGTTCTACTTGACAGATGGAAAAGCAATTTGCCGTCAAAGGTACGACATAGGACCACAATCCCCGACGAGTGAATGAATCCCGCCTAACGCGCAAGTAGTCGTGCAGCACATGGCCACCTACTGGTCCATCCTCGAAAAGGTCAAGGGCTCGAGCCTGCGACTGACCAAGATCGACGACGAGATCTACGAGCACCTCAAGGAGGCCTTCCCCGAGTTCGACCCCGCGGCCACGATTGACGAGGACCAGATGAAGAGCAAGACGGGCAAGGAGAGGTGGCGCGAGTTCATGATGAAGTACGAGAAGAAGGTGGACGACTACAACTTTGGCACCATGGTGCGCAACAATGCCAAGGCCGAGTACGAGCAGGACACGACCATCTTTGGTAAGCCTTATTCGGCTACAATACTACGGTTATTCGTTGGCTGACGTTGAAACAGTCCCCAGGATGCAGTTCTATGCCATTGAGATTGCTCGGTACGTTTTGCATCTACTTGTGACGATGAGAGCTTTCACTGACCTTGCACACAGAAACAAGAACGGCCTCAACGACTGGATATACGAAAAGGCGCAGGCCGAAAAGGCTCAGGAGGAGAAGAAGTAAATACCCCAATCTAGCAGAAATAAAAGTCAGGCGTCTATCATACTATGCCGCATGCCTACATCGGTGAACCAGTGGGGATTCACTTAACAGACATGATATGCTTCAGGTGTGCGGTTGCGAACCTACAGCTGCATGGCTATCCTTCGCGAGAAGGACAAACAACAGAGGAAAGGAAATCATCAAACGTGTCCAATTTGGAAGGTCGTGGAAATATGGGTACATAAAGTTCTGGATTCAGATACGTCTTCCTGATATTAATGTTTCTTCAAGGTAAGGTAGCTTGCCTTTCTTCTCCCATGTGCTACTTGCTTGTCACTTGTCCCCATGCCGTATCCGTGCCAACGCCCGTTTGTCGCCTGGCAAACTGATGCCAGCTGCCCAGGCATCAGCGTCGTCAAAACAAAGCCGCGAGTGACAGTACGTCTGCCCCAAATTATAACAACCCACAACTTTACCCCCATCCAGATAGTGATTCTTGTCTCTTCCTACAACCCAAGGAAGAAGGGAAAGATACAACAGCCGATGCGCCTCGCCTCATCGTTCAAGGCAGATCTCGTGATACTTACTCCCGGGAATTACATCATGGATCAAACATCCTGGCTCGATCTCTCACTCTCCCCAGACGGCGAAGTCATTCCCATCCCGCCCTCACCACCTCAGTCTCCCCGTAAGTCACCCTCATTTCAAACCCCTCTCTCTGGATGCATACATCTCTCATTTCATACCAGGAGGCACACAAATCACTGACTTTTCCCCAACAGCAAGCGTCAGCCCGCCCAAACTCACCCGCTCAAAGTCCCTCATCGAGCGAGCCACAAGCAGAGCCTCACAACATTCCCCATCCCCCAACGTCTCCAGCAACACCGACGACCACCATCACCATCAGCAGCTCTCCGGTCGTCCTAGTCTCCCGCCGTGGGATCGCACCGTGGACGTCGTCTACCACAAGTACGCGCATGGAGAAGCAGGCAGACCGGAGGAGGACAGGAAAACCATTGCCGTAAAGGTGCTGACGAACAAGTTCTTTGCGCTGCATAAGAGGAACAACAACAAGTCGAAAGGAGGCAGCAGCGGCGACGTAATAAAGCCTCGGGAACGTACCTAGCAGAGACTCCCTGAGCATGTTCGCCGCCGTATCCTTGAGAACCTCGTCGCTTCTTACGAGACGCTGGGATCAAAGCCCATCGGCCTGAATCCTTTCCACTGGGACCAAGACTGCTGGGAGCCCTCGGACTTTACGCCCTTGCGCCAAGTCCTCGCCACGTTCCGCCCCTACATGAGCGTCTCATTCGACTTCCACTCCACAATCTTCATCACCATCCTCTCAGCATACACCTTCCACGTCACATTCTCCCCCTTCACCGCCCAGAGGCTCAACCCCCTCGCAACCACCTGGCTCAACAAATACAGCCCCTTCATGAGCTCCCTCATCATCGAAATCGATCTCTCCCGCTTAGGCCTCGGCCCAAGCCCCCAAGCCGCGAACCTGCTCCCCTGCACAACCAACCTCCAGCGTCTCCTCCACAGCTTCAGCCTCGCCCAGCTCCAAAGAAGCCCCGAAGCGCCCCTCGAGAGTCTCATCCTCGCCTGTCGTCGCTTCCACGGCCAAAGAGAGGACTTGCCCGAGCCTCCTCTTCCTCCTCCTCCTCCTCCTCCTCCCCCAGCTCCCTCTGACATAACAAAAGTCTCTGCCAGAGCCGCCGCCCTGTACGAAGAAGAGCTTATTCTCAAGAACCAGTCTTTTGTAGCCGAAATATCCGGAAGGTTGTCTTCATGCGACATTCCCGGCATGATTGCTCGAGCATTGTCCCCCGCACCAGATGAATCCTTTAAACAGTCCGAAGTCTCCTTCGAAGACTCCTACATCGACCAGGACGCAGAAGGCGAACAAGCAGAGAATTCATACATTTACTCAGACGACAACGATGACGAAGACGCCAGCATCATCAACATATCCTTCATAAGCGACAACTCATACGCCTCCCACATATCCTATTCCTCCTCCTCCTCTTCTTCCTCAGACTCAGACTCAGACTCAGACTCAGACTCCTCTTCAAACCCAGGCACCAGCCTCGCCATCCCGCACTCCATCCCAGAAGAAGAAGACGAACAGGGACAGCAGCCGCCGCCGTCGTCATACTGTCCGGACAAACACCTCTCTATATGCAACCATCTCGTCCGCCTCCGCAACAACGTCACCTCCCTCCGCATGGCCGGCTTCTCAGAGGCATACACAAACGCCTTCATAGCAACCCTCTTTCCCGAATCGAGAATCTTGCCTCTGAGATTCCACGCATACCGTGTCGCCCCGTCTACCTTTTGGCCTCGTCTTCGCTACCAAAAGTCGATGATTGATAATGGCCGAGCGGTTGTGCTCGATGACCATCAAGTCATCCCCGAACCAGGCATGTTTCCCGAGGGACCAGTTCAGCTCCCGGCTCCCATCGTCTACAAGTGCCCTTCTCTCAAATCCTTGCCAGCAGCACGCAACCGCTCGAGGAACAACACCGCCAGTTCGGGCTCGAGCTGGCCTTCTCAGAAGAGCCTGGAGAGCAACGAAGAGGCAAACACTTCGAAGAGCTCTTTGCGGTCTAGCTACGAAAAGTCAGTGGTGCAAAAGCTTTTGGAGAGATACAGGAAGTCGAGGCGGATGCCGAGGCCGACATCTGCCCCTTGAGTTGCAGAAAGGTGTCGAGTATGAGACATGTTTGCTGGGGCACTTGTGTAAGAGTTTGAGTAGTGTAGCTGTGTCCAAGAAAGGGCCAAAAAGGGTGGATTCGTGTATGATACTGCTGGATACATGTACGTGTATATACATTAAGACGCTATTAAAAAGGACCAATATCGCTTCTTCATGATCTAGTATATGCATTCGCTAATGCCCTCTCATAGGAGGAATGTCGATTCGCTTCCAGCCAGACAAAGGCCGAAACAGATACGCCGTCTACTCGTATAACCCAGACATTACGCTTTTACTAGAGTCTTTCCGAAGAGGTCAGCAACTACCCAGACATAAACATATCAGTGAAAGGGGAGTTGGGTAAACAAACCTTGGCAAATGTGCTCTTCGCACGGATCCTCTCTCCGTAAAAGAGAAGCACCCAAGGAATAATCGTCAGTCCCGTAGCAATGCCGCCCAGCATAGCCCCAGCGCCCTTTGTACCAAGATTCGTAAACATGATGCTCGTAATCAGCGGAAAGCAGCCGCCGAGAACGTTCCGGCAGAAGCTCTGCGCTGCAAGAGCGGAGCTGGCGTAGATGTGGTACGTGTCGGCCAGGTAGTTAAAGGTGGCGAGGTAGACAGAGTAGATGCCCCAGGTCGCCAGCCCCAGACCGATTGCTTTCGAGTATCCTCCCGTTGTCAAGAAGGCGATAAAGAGGCCAACCGGCAAGAGCAGTGCAGTGATGCAAGTGAAGTAGAGCCTCGCTTCCGGTGCTTCAGCCGGGAACCGTCTCCGCATAAAGGCCCAGAACGCAGAGTCAGAGTACTGGAAGCCCTCTTCCTGCTTCATCCATTGAGAGTGCTTCAGGAGATGCTCCTGGAAGATGCCGACTACGGTCGCTACCGCGGAGGCTATCATCATGGCCACATACACTCTGCTCGACAAGCTGAAATTCTCGCCGTAGAGGAAAGGGACGACCGAAAAAGAGAGATACAGTACGCCCCACGAAAAGGCAGCCCATAGAGAGAAGCAGAAGACGACTGGCTCTGTGAGGAGGAGGTGAAACGGCCTCCTGATTGAAGTCAAAACGATCTGTCCCAAGGAAGCGCGTTGTTCGTCTTCCTTGACTATCCATCGGATTCGCCGTAAACGGGGTGTGGAAGGGTTGCTCCGCCCGTTCATGTCGAGGGTGATTGTTGTTTGGCTCGACGCTGCGGACGCCATAAGAGCCAGTTCGCTGTTGATCCATAGCCCGTATATACCATGCGCTTCCAACTCTTCATACCACTTATTGAGCTTTTTTGCTTTCCTGGACAACAAGACGGAAGCTCTGCTCTCTTTGAAGAAGAAAACCAGAGCAAGCAGCAGACCAGCGTCAAGAATGACCTGAACCCAGAACGACCACTTCCAGGCACGATTATTGCTGCCCACCGTCTCGATCAACGCAGCAGAAACCAGTGGACCGGCTCCTGTACCAGCCAAGACGGCACCGCTGAACAGTGCCATCGGTGTGTTTCGTTCCTCCTTTTCCCATAGATCAGCCAGCACACCTCCAATGACCGCAGAGAAGACCGAGCCGCCGATACCGACGAGGAAGCGTGATACCAGCATGCCAGCGGCATCCGGCATGACAGAGCAGACGGCCTGGAAGACGACGAGGACGATGCCGGCGCTGATGAAGATGGGATAGCGCCCCCATATCTCAGACATTGGCGCGAGAGCCATTGGCGCAAAGGCAAATCCCATGCAAAACGTGGTGATGCCTACCAGAACAACAAGCCGAGAGGTCCCAAAGTCATCCGCCATGATACTTGCCGGCGGCGCGTAAGCACCCGCAGTGAATGCCGTCAGGAACGTCGCTAGGCATGACAGGATGAGCAACACGCTCTTTCGCGTGGCACCCCATGTCAGGGGAGACGTGTAAGCCCTCAAGTCTGGGCATGGAGGCGACTGTCGACCATGGAGGTCCGGCTGTTGTATTGTTGGCGGCGATGGCAAATCCGTGTTGAAGGTGAGGTAGAGATACGATATTGGCGTGTTGCTGTCCAGAGTCGTATTTTCAGACTGCTCGGTCCCCGGCTTCTCACTCGATATAAGATCCTCTTCGTCGCGGGAAGGGCGACCGATTTCGAAATCCTCCCTCCCCTGTGACCCTGATATTCCCTTTTCATCGGCGGCCATCGTCGCTGACGGCGAAGTGACGAAGAGCGGGCTATGACTCGTAGTTGCGAATCCAGCACATCGATATACCGTGGCGCGAGCAGCCAAGTAGTCGCCGTATCACGACTGACACTCAACCAAACGCCAGCTTCGAGAAGGATTTTCTCAGATTCAAAGAGCGGCAATGCCCTTTTATCAAAGGGTGAGAAGGCGCAAGTGGAGCTACCATTCACTCGACGGGAATAACCAGGTTTTTCTTTGCACACCGGTCTGGTCGATCTGGCCCTCGCCCCCACGCGGCTGACGGGATGACCATGACTATCCCATTCCTCTATCACAACATGCTTGTCCACGAGGACGGCAACACGCCCTTGCTTCATGCACAAGATCGTGCTCGGCGGAACCCTTTTCGAAACCGATGAATCACAGCGAACATGTAGCTCCGTGCTCCGGAGCAAGTTCGAAGCTCCTCGACCACATGCCGCTCATGTCTGTCTTGAACAACTCACTGGAGCGACGCACTCACTAGCCCATTGTTAGTCAATGGACCGGCGGGAATAAGCCACGGAAATCCTTCACAGCGGTTCTCCACAAACCAAGCTTTGCATCTGAGATTCCTAATCCGTCCCCGCGAAAGCGTTGGGCTTGGGATTGGGGGCGGAGACCAGCACCAGAGCAACCTGAGCTCGCCAGCTAACTCCGACATGCTGGCTGCTGCAACCGCATTCCGAAACCGAGGACTTCCGTCCAGGCTGGATCCCCGAGGAGATCGAAGCCAGGCCAATGGGACGTCCATCAGCGGAACGAGTGGGTGCATTGTTGGATCTCGGGTCGACGAGGTGAGATTCACGGCACGTTATTCCCGACTAAGGCCGCGGGTTATTGGGGCCATCGACGCAATTGGAGGACCACGGCGTTTTGCTTCTGCATAGCCGTCCCTTGAGGTTGCTTTTCTATTACACAGCATAGATGACTAGTGTAGAACTCCGACCGGAAGGACACGTCCGCAATGGAGCAGACTGCCCTTCTCCCCTTATTATGGTTGCTGCCCCCACAAAAGCTTGTTGATAGCTTTCTGCCTTGCCATAATATTTCCCAAATGCTTTCTTTTGTTGACTCAGAGCTGATTGGATTGTTGCCGCAACGGAGGATGCGATCGTCTTCCTGTAAAGTGCGCAGTAATTGTCTTCGACCAATGCTATATATCCGACGAAGGCAGCTTCTCAGTTCTTTCGCTCTGCTTCTTGCGTTGCATTCGGGGCTGAATCTGCTGCAACTTCCACGGGTATGGCGTTAACACTGATATGGCCTGCTCTCCACGTCTGAGAAAGGTCTTGGCTGAATGGTCGTGGCTCTACTGGCAGCTCCCTCAACTCCATTGACTTGTTTTCCAGCTCAGCTGGACGTTGAGAGATAGGCAGTTCAGTTGCTTCTTTTTGAGTATCATGCTGGCCCCATGTACCCCCATCTTCCGTGAGCCGTCTTGGGCCTTGGTATCTCCTTCGGCGGCGTAAGAACAGAAAAGTAATCGCCGCGGCAACGGCCAACAGCCCCAGGCAGCTTCCTACTGTGACCCCGGCAATCGTTCCAGAACTAAGAGGCAGAGTCGGCCCTGGTGGTGGTGGATATGATGCGCTAGGTGATGATAACTCCGCGGTCCTTGAGGAGGCTGGCGAAGAGGAAGTCAAGTCAGTTGTGAGTATCCGTACATCAGTTGTGGTTATGACCCAAGAAGTTGAGACATCCGCTGTTGGTGTCGGCCCAAGGGTCGGAGCTCCTGGCGGATTAAATTCCGTACTCCTCATCGCATTCGATACATCCGCGCTTCTCCAACGAATCTCAAAAGCCGGGGCGGAGAGAATAGTTCCATCGTAGTCGGACACCGCAAATCTCTGATCTTTAGTCCTGTCGTTACAGTCGTATCCCCTTCCGCACCAATGTCAGTGTTAACCAGCCCCTTGACTCATGCTGCCACGTTCACTTACTCGGGAATACATCTGACAACCGTCTCCTCCCTCTGTATGGGCCAGCCATTGCTGACGGGGGCCGTCTGGGTGCACCTAGCATAGTACCCAGTAAAGCATTCCCCTGGCGAATAGAACCCCCCGTTCGACCAGAGCTCGAGGCCCCCTGGGATCCGACAGCTATCAAAGTCGGACTGGAGAACCGGAGCGGGACAGGGGATAAACTCGATAGTCATTGGCATGTAGGGCACTCGTTTGGTGCCGTTCGTGAGTGTGTGGACCGCCATTTCAACCAGTGAGTTGCGCTGTTGAAGCCCGTCCTGTCGATTCCGATGCGAAATTAGACACGGCCGTATCGTGATGGAGCTCGTCGTAAGTGCTCGGTGCCAAAGTATTCCGACAGGAGGCCGACATGAAAGAGATCAAGTCTGGGATCTGGAACAGAAGCGGTAAAGGTTTTATTTGACGATTGACATTCGCCAGAGAGGGCAGTTGCTCAGAGTTTGTGTTCGCGCCTTCCGTTGTTTGGCGGCCCAGCACCGAAGCACGTGTATCACCATCGGTTACAGAAGCCGTGAATCGCTACAGAGCACCGACAGAGTATCAACAGCGAGTAATGAGCGTTTGATTGTATTGATCTGTACGTGTACTCGGCCGTACCCGCATAGCTGAATTGCTGTTGTACAAGATCTCGATTCGACAGATGCAATCTCGGCTGTGTTCACCCAGATACAACTACACGATGTATCTTCTTGTCTATACTTGGAGAAGCACGTCTCAAATCATGCTCAACACGTTAACAACGTCGACACTGCAGGCTCGTTTGAAAGGACACAATCGCTTAATTCACAGTCTATCGTATAATACAGTAGTCATGTCTAAATGCCGATAAAAGAAGGAAAAGGTAGAAAAACGGCTTCCCGTCTCTTCCACCTAATCCACATCGTCCTTGTTTGGGCTTCCCCTTCCGCTGCCATTTGGCGAGGCGCCGCCTCCACGAGCGCCCTCGGATCCCCCATTCGTCGTACCATTGGCGTGACCGTTAGTATGGCCGTCAGTATGACCATTTGTGTGACCGTTGGTATGACCATTGGTGGTACCATTTGCTCCCTTTACAGTCTTCACAGTCCCATCTTCATTGATGCACTCTTCAAGATACAGCGCAAAGGTAATCACCAGATATACATCCCCAGTGGCCTTGTTCCGAAGAACATACCTCAGCTGATGTGCAAGCCGCCCGTCATTCCTAAGAGCAACCGGTAAGTACAAGATCCGAACAAAACAGTCATCACCTGTCATGGCCAAACTTACCTCAACGCCTCTGCACCGAGATACTTTGCAACCGAAAGCTGAAACCCCGGCAACCGCAACGCCATGTTGGCAAAGTCGAGGTACGGGTTGAAGAAGTCGATGCCGTACGTCTGGCCGTACTCCCAGATCCATTTCTCCTTGTTCGCGTCCGACAAGGCCCACTTCATCCTCGGCTTGCTCTCCTTGGGCACGCCGTTCATCTCGCGCACCTTCTTGCCCCTATCGTTTCCTCCCTCCTCGAACCACAGGCCGCCCTTCGACTCGTCAAACTCTCCAGGGCCGGCAGATACGACGTTGAACGAACTCAGCGCAGGGCCGTAGAGATAGGGCTTGTCCGCGTAGGCATCGCCCTCGAGGCCGGGATCGATCCACCACTTGACAATGTTCATCGCATAGTTGAAGCCCGGCGGCAGCTTGTCTCGGATAGGCCGATCAAAGTCGTTGCCGAACTGCAAGTCTGCCGCTCTGATCCCCGAGGCGGCGGCGCCGTCTGCATCATCTCCGTTCTCTGACCTAGCCGGTTTGAGGGGCGTGAAGCGGAAGGAGATGCTGTACTGGTCCTGGTTGCTCGCATGAGGCTCTGTGGAAAAGTAGGGCGATGTCGACGGCGAGCCACGCGGCAGCCCCTTGTAGTCCTGTATCCGCACATTGAGCTCGATGTCGGCAAGGTCGCTCTTGATGCGCACCGGCGCGGCCTCGTTCACCGGGACCTCGACCTGCGTGCTCTCGTCATAGCTCGGCCCCGCCGTGACTCGCAGGATGTATTTCTCTTTGGCTGTGCGTGTCACTCTCATGTCGTTGGGATCGCACTCGTTGGTGCTTTCGTTGACGATGTCGTTGGCACTCATATTGTCCAAATTCGACGCAGCTTTGCTTGGGATTGATATATGTAGTTGATCAGACTGAGACTGAGCTCGGAAAAGGTTGAATTGATGGGCCGAATCGGACTATATAATGATGCCCTCTGACTGTGGCTTGTTTCTTGTCCATGGCGCCGGCCTCATAAGATTCTTAAAGCACTGCTATTAATAACAGGACGGCGTCTGCTATTAGTGCCGCTTGCCTTGATGTCAGGTGGCGAATCGAGCGCGTCAACGGGGCGTTACCCTGGAGTCATGACTTGGTTTCCTGGTTTCGGTACTTGTTCTCTCCATCGTTCTCCCGCGTCCAGCGGCGTTTGTCGATGTATTTCTCCTTGAACTGTACGGAAAGGGAAATGATGTTAGTGCCACATCATGAAACAGCACCTCCGTCGCCCAAAGTTTCATCCGTCAATGCTGCATCTCGCCAAATCGTGTGAAACGTCTGGAGCTAGACGCAAGCCTTGGGCTTGTGGTTTGTTCCACTGCCCTGGTTTGAAGCTCTAGAAAGAGCATATTATGGGCTAGTCCAATTGGAAGAGAAGGAAATAATCACAGCTATCTATAGGCTGCAGTATCAATTATGCTCCCTTGGACGTAATATGACGGAAGAACGACTTCAGATCTCAAACGTGAGGCAGCATGGGCAGAGACTACTAAATGCTCGACAATCACATGTGATAACACCTTTGGCGTGACAGTGAGCATCTGAAGCTTTCAGATAGGAAGCATTGAGTCAGTCGAAATATGAGCATGAATCTGAACAATCAACAATGTATATCAGTTTCAGTGATGTTAAGGGATATGCAGTCGTACAGCCTATGACTGCCAACGACTACCTTATCAAGGCGTTATTCCGTTCCACTGCCTTCATGCTCTTCACATGCCAATCTCCAATATCCCCAAAGACAGCAACCCCTCCCGCAAGTCCCGAACCAGAGCCATTTTCACACTCACTCAAGCTCCAGCTCATTCATTGATCCCTTGGGCTGATGGGCTTGCGCCCCCCTCGCCGGCACCGCCCATGTACCCCTGCACCGAAACTTACGTCTGCAGTGACAACACTGACGTCATGCCCAACGGGAGTCGGGGCAAGCTCAACAAACAAGCAAAGCTGCAAATTCGGGGTCCTTTTTCCTACCCACTTCTTTTTGGTCCGCCAACAATAAGGTAGAATCACAGATGTTAATAATGGGATGAGAATCGGAGGAAACGGATTCCCTTGTCATCCGCCTCGTCTCATCTCATCACACGCCAGTGCATCTGCCACTTGTACCTCTTGTTGTTGTTAGCTAGACTTTCGGCAGTTTGTTGCTTGGTGGCGTCCTCCCGTCGTTGGTACAATGATACGCAACACGGTAACAGGCCGGCTTGCCATCCGCCTCTGCATTGCATTCTTCCGCTACACGCCCTTCATCTACGCCGCCCTCCTAGCCGCAACATACTGCTGGTATGGCTGGGCCTCAACCGCTGCCCGGGTCCTGTGGGGCCTCATCCTCGCCGAGACGCTCTTCTTCTGCCTCGTCTACCTTCCGTACATGCACCGGCTGAACCGCAAGGCCGTGCACCCGAAACCCCTGACGTCCGTGGAGAGATGGGCTCTCTTCAACCAATGCGTCGACAATGTCCAGTCCGTGGAGGCATACCTGCGGTCGTGGTTCCTCGGCGCTGAAATGAAGGATATCCGCCGAGACAACCTGCGCGATTTCCTCCTCTGGGGCTTCTTCGACCAGGCCGGGGAAGATGTCGAGAGTAACGGCGGCCACTCCGAGGCTGATGCGCGAGATCTGGACGACTTCGTCAAGAGGATTGAGCATCGGCTGGGCTATCCTCTGCGAGAGGGCCGAGGGTCGGCGCAGTGCATTCGACTGACCTTGGACGACATCGAGGTCACTTACAGATCGTTAACGTGGTACTTGGTCATATACCTGGTGGATCAAGCAGCACACATGGCGCTTGCCTGGCATGGCTTCAAATTCTACGCCAGAGGCCTCGCACCAACTCTTGCAACGTTCCCACCGCGTCCACAGGAGATATTTACGAGCCGGCGCTCGCGTGCTCCTCAGCTGAGCTACTGGTACCGGCCTCATACATCAAATGAGTGCAACCCGGTCGTCTTCTTCCATGGCATTGGCGTTGGGCTCTGGACATATGTCGACTTCCTTGCCAACATACATGCAGCTAAAGACATTGGTGGTGGTCAGGGTATCGGTGTCATTGCTGTGGAGATCCTTCCCGTATCCTTTCGACTGACTTCCCCGCCTCTGAATAAGGCCGAGTTCCTGCGGCAGATGGCCAAGGTATTGGAGCATCACCAGTGGGACAAGTTCACGGTCGCGGCACATTCGTATGGATCTGTGCAGACCACCCACATGCTCCACTCCAAGAGGCTTGGGCATATGGTCACATCCGTCGTGCTCATCGATCCGGTCACGGTGATGCTGCATCTCCCCGATGTCGCCTACAACTTCACTCGTAGAAAGCCCCGGGGAGCCTATGAGTGGATGTTGTGGTACTTTGCCAGCACTGATCCAGGCGTGGCGCGGTGTCTAGGCCGACACTTCTTCTGGCGGGAGAACATCATATGGAAGGAGGATTTTAAACACGCCGACCCGGTGTATCGTCGCAAGGTTGCTGTTTGCCTGGCTGGGAGGGATATACTTGTCAACACCCCTAGCGTCGCGCAGTATTTGACCGACCTTGGAGTGGAGGGAATAAACCAGGCTCGGGGCGCCGCTGAGAATCGGACAGCCGATGTGGAGGTGCTCATGTTCCCCCATCTGGATCATGCGCAGATATTCGACACCCCAGCAGACTGTCAAAAGGTGATCCGGCTTATCAGATCATATTCTGGTGCAGGAGTAGCGGAATAGACCACTCTATAGAGTCGCAGGAGCTGAAGCGTGCAGCAGCTGCAGCAGCTCGGCGGGAGCGGGAGCCAATCTCAAACAACGAATCACTCAATAGTCTTGACCTCCTGACCACCCCATTCAGAGAGGATGGCTCCCACTGGACGGGGGCCGCTCTGAGTGATGACCCAAACCAGCTCTTGGTCCGTATCGTTCCGAACTTGGTGCTCCGTCCAGGCCGGCACGAATGCAAAGTCTCCCGACTTAAGCTCGTGATGTCGCAATTCGCCCTTGAAGCCTTCCTTGACGACGAGCGTCCCGGTACCGGACACTGCGTTGATGATGGCATCTTGAGTGTTATCAGAAACCGAATCTAACCAACCAACGGAGCCCTTCTTGGCGGGAGATGGAGGGCACCCCCAGAGGCGGGGAGGTGGCAACCTACCTTGCTCGCTGTTGTGGTGTATTGGGGAACTAGAATTGGGGGGTATGCGGAGGACTGTCCGATAGAGAGAGGGAGAGGAGAAGAGTTACAACGCAGTTTCTGGCACGCTTCGCTCAGGGCCAAGGAGAAGACTCACCCGAAGCACACATCTTGTCACACTTACCGACGACGGCGGCATCTCGGATGGAACGCCCCTCATTGTCCAGAATGGGCGTGAGCTGGTCTGCGCGGGTCACCTCGGTGGTGGAAGGCAGAATCATGGGCAGGATCTCTGAGATGATGGGGAGTAGAGACGACATGGCCCAAGACATTCAACGACCGGGTGCGGGATTACGGTCACTCTTGGCGGCATGGACCAGCCGGCGGAGAGTATCAATGCGAGTCAAATGTCAGTTTCTTAGCGTAGCAGGCGTTCGTCTCGCTCTCTCGCTCGCTGTCCCTCGTGTGCCTGCTGTACGTGTCCGTTTAGGCTGGGGGTGCCGTGAATGCAACGAAGACACCCAAGGGGGGAAGACGAAGCCCAACTAGGAAGGCGAGCCAGTGATGTGGTGCGAGGATGCGGAACATAGACGAAGCAGTTGAGAAATGATGTGTAAGAATGGAGGACTATGAGATGCGTAGCTGAGCACTGGATAAGGAGGCGCTGAAGATGAAGCAATGGTTATATGAGCTCTTGGAGGAATATGGGATGGTATGTGGTCCGGCTTGGCTCAAGAAGAGGCGAGGGAGAGGACGGGATGTGACGTGTCGATGCTGCGATGTTTGGCAGAATGCAGAAGCTGAGACGGTTAGAAGCCAAGCGGAAGTCATACATGAGGTGGTAATCGATAGGGGGACGCATGGAGGCCCGGCGAATCGTGATCGTCGGCCAATCAGTTTTTCCGCTTAGGCTTCTTGCTTGGTGTAACTTGGGTGCATCATGGCATGAGTTTACGCTCTCAAAACTTGTCATGTCTCATGTATTCTTGACTCAGTTTCATTGACAGGGACTGAAAGAGAAAGAGATGGAAAAGGGAGCAGAAACAGGAGAAGCGAGAGGCAATGAGGTGCACCTGAATTCAAGGTGCTCCCTCGTGGGTTGTCCTGATACTTGACCGAAGACAAAAGAACCGGCATATGCTTGTTACTAGCACAACACGAGGCTCCTGCTGCTTACTCGCTTGAGTACCATAACTGGGCTTGCAAAACCCCTCATGAGAATTCAAAGAAGCATGACAAAGCGGAACTGCATAAACTACAAAAAGTTCTTACACGCAGAGGTTCTTGGCCATACAAGTTGTTACTATATAGAGGGCCTATTACTACAGCAGGTAGCAGCAGCCCCTCACTGGTCCAACAAACAACATTGAAAACCCCTGGACACGCAAAATGGGCCCTTGCAAAAGGAACACAAGCTTTGGCCAACCTGCGGCCGATGAGCCAGAATGCAACTGTAAATCTTCGACAACAAGGTACAAGGATGGAAAGCAAAGAATAAAAAAGAACAAAGGAACCCTCGCTTGCTGATGCCGACAAAGATACCCGTACCGTGTCCTTTTCACAAGACCTTACTGCTACATAAGATAGGTACTGTCTTCGGACGGCCTGGAGAATACTATTAGGTACTAATGTTTCGCCGAGAAGGTGATGACTCTGAGGATACATTGGATTCTAGTCTGACGCATCGGGTGGTGATGCGAGGATCAGTTGCCGTAAACGATGTAGAGCGATAGGACGTGATCTGCCTCATTTTGCTTATTACGGCTGCCTACCTTATCTATCATGGATTGCGTCGTAAGGCTCCGATATCGAGCCCTGGGCAATTTTCGCCATGTCCTATCTATTTGGTGTGGCCTGGATGGGGTGCAGTCGGAATCCTCAGCCGAAATTGATTGAATGCGCTGGTCGTTGGTGCTGGCCTCCTCCCCCAACATACACGAGTCCGCAGCATACCTGAGTTACTAACCACCACTTGACAGCCAGCCGCACATCATCAGGGTTCTCCTAGTACATAGTACTATACTACTACCAACAATCATAATAAGCAGTGCCCTGTGCTCGCTCCCCCATTTGCATCCGCTCTAGTGGTAATGTTACCTACTCGTATAGGGAGGTCGACTCGGGGCTTTTGGGCAGCCCCCCCGGCAGAAGCCAAGAGCACACTCTTGCGTCTGCCCGCCTGGTTGGTCGGCCGGATCGCACCCCCCCTGCTGCCAGATGCCTGTTGGCACATGGAAAGTCTCCCTGCAAGCTAGTGCACGATCCCGCTGGAATGGGAAGCTGGGTTTAGGCCAGGAAGAGCAGGTGAGCGTCTAGTCGCGGATATTGCTTCGAGTCGACTTATACACGCTCACGCTATGTTGCTTGTCTTGCACAAGACGGAGAGCCGTCCGTGATGGTTTGCTCAAACAGAACTAGCACCAAACATCTGATGGTTAGCTCGGCACCCCAAGGATGCGGCGGCCGGTGAGATTTCGCCGACGGCTCTATGTATGCGGAGGTGGAAGTGGAAGCGTTGGATCTAGATCTGTTGGTCCAAGTGCTCTTGTGCTCACCGGAGTGACAAGCCGAAACCTGGTTTATTTGTCACGACAAGAACAACACTGGTCAAATATCTCGAGTAAGCTACCCAATAAGGCTCTCAAGCCGGCTGATTGATCGCAGACTGTTGCCTCCGATAACATGGACCCTCGGCGGACTAGTTGGGCGAGTATCCGAGCCCTGAGCCGGTCTTTCTGATCTCACTTGCAGCAGCATCTTGGCTTGATACCACTTGGTTCTGCTTGTGCGTACATAACAGATACGTCGGTATGTTGCATGTCATAGCTTTGAGTAGTGGCAGGAATTCCATGTTGCGTTGATGGTACTGTACAGTGTACATGCTTGCAGCAATCTGACATGCCTTATATATCCAGTGCTACCTGGTCGAGCAGGCTTCGGCATCCATCAAGTCAAGACCGCGACATGAGACGAACACCCATAGGCTCGTTTAGGCGCTTGTCGCGTATTGATGATGCCGATCAAGGCGCAAACTGCTCTGGCAGGTAACATCGGGTATGCTCGTCCTTGGATGCCGGCGTGGGATCTGATTGACGGCAAATACAAGCCTGAGCGACCCTCCGCTGCAACCGCCCTCTGCGGTTGTCCACCCACCCTCTTTTTGCCTTGCTGATAGGATGGGTACAACTACGGGGTGGACAAGGCGCACACAGAACGGGCACTTGTGATAAATATCGCAGCCCCGGAGGAGCCCACACCGGAACGCCTAGTGGTGATGCGGCGGCGCCGGCGGAGAGTGTGGAGAGGGAAGCAAGGGTCGTGTCACCGTGGGACCTGGGCCAGTCCCGGCTTAAGTCGACGGCTATTTGGGAGGGGGTGCGAGATTTGGGATGAGGCTTGTCTGGAACGGGGGGAAGAGATGCTGGCAGCAGAGCTTCCCAAGTCAGCGAGCCTTCGGGGATGGCCTCCGTTTGGGGAATAGGAAGCCTCCCCTTTCACGCGCCAGGCAGCCGTCACGGGCCGTTCGTTTGCTCGGTGTATGTCGACACGAGGCCCTCATTATATCATCTCACCGTTGCCCGGCGTCATCGGAGCGGTTTGCGGGCTGGTAGAGCTTGTGGGTGCGCCGCTCCTCGGCCGAGTCTGGAGGAATGGCTTGGTGTGAGTTTGTGGTGGTTGGTGCCATATAAACCAGCGACAGCCCTACGTCTCATCCTGTGCTGTGCGAAGCCGCTGCGTCACCAGCTTTGCACATGCTCGATCCAGACAGGGCATAAGGTGACTGCATGTATTTGGCGGATTATACAAGTCGCAGAGACGGAAAATCTCTTCATTTCCACGGCTGCTCGTTTCCTTGACCCGTTGCAAAGCGCACTCCTGGTCGCCGGCTGCAGCTCTCCCTGCGACTTCTGATGGACTCGGTCTGCTCGACTGCTACGCTGCGTCGCCACCCTGCTGGATCTCGCTAGAGAAAAGGGGAAAAGAGACGAGAGGGAGAAAAAGATCCCGGAAAAGAGCTGATTGAAGCTTTGGCTCGTGCGTGCGCCTATCCTAATCAATGCATTGGAACATCCATCACCACACAAACCGCCCAGGGACCGACACGAGGTGCAGCGAGCCCTGGACAGCCGCTGCTGGTGTTGCTTGACTGCTGCTGGCGGACCCTGATGGTCAGATTCTGCAGCCTTTTCTGGAAGCCGACGGAAGCTCGATTTGCCGGGGTCTTGCGGCAGCTCCCCGTCCAGTGCTTCAGCTTGCTGGAGCTGCTCAGTTCAGTTTAGGTGCCAGACGGCGAAGCTCCAGAGCACTCAACTCAACTGACTGGCTCACCTTGAACTCTTCCTTTTGAGGCCGCCAGCTGTCGATACTTGTCTGCTCGACACTTGGCTGTGTACCTATTTATTCCGGGACCGAATTTCGAGCTTCTTCTCTTCTTCTTCTGCTTCTTCATCCCTCTTCACCTCCAGACTGGCCCAGCCCGCATCGCTCTGCACCATGGACCCGGGCCTCGCTAGCGGCAAGGCGATGGAGGCGAGTGCAGCGTCGTCATCGCCCGCCTCGGCAGATGCAGCTTCATCGCCAGCTTCCGCCTCACCGTCGTCGTCGTCGCCCGCCACGCCTTCAGCCTCGCCAGATGCCGATGCGCGCATCATCTACGGACGAGTCGATGCCGCAAACGAGGACAATATCGATCTGCTCAGCAGCGTCGCCGACCATGGCGCCCTGGGCCGGGCAAAGCTGCTGAGGCCGTCTGCGGCCCAACGGCGTGACGACGCCATTATGCAAGGTACTGCAGCTCGATGTTGTGTGCGACGTCCTGTGCCCACCACACCAACCTGGTCGGGTTGTGCTGCACAGGGCCGAAATCTCCGAATTCCTTTAAATTTTTGAGCTGTCCTCAGCTTTGGTTGAGTTTCGTCAGCTAATTTCGTGTGTTTGTTCAGAGCAAGACACAGACGCAGCCGGTTCAGGCGCCTCAGACCAGATCGCGGCATCTTCCACCAAACCCTCCGGTAAACCCCCTCCACTGCTCGCCACGCCCGCCGAGCTCATCGACACGATTCTCTCCTATCTTTCCCCATGCGATCTCGCTGCCGTTTCTGCAACATGTCGTGCCCTGCGCCAGCATGCGCTCTCCGACCTGCTCTGGCAGCCCCTCGTCCAGGAAAACGTTCCCGCGGTGCAGGTCACCAGCCCCGGCCCATGCGCCAGCTTTCGCGAGCTGTATGCCGCTCACGACCGAGTCTGGTTTCTGCCAAAGTACAAGATCTGGTTTTGCGATCGAGATCTGACGGGAAAGCTGATCCTGGTGCGCTACGACCCCAGGCGTGGCTGCATCGAGGGCTACCAGATGGTGGCTGTCAGCAACCAATCGACCTTCCAGCACTGGTCGGCAGATCACGACGTAATTATCCACAGCTTCTCGCCCGTTGTGAAGCTGCATCTCGACAAGCCCGTCCTGCAGTTCCGTGTCCAGGATAGGCAGGAGGATGGAGGCTCGTTCAACAAAAGGCCCGGCGCTAACCGCTTCGCCGACGAGATACCCATGAGCCTGGACGACCGCGTCGGCGGCATGTTCAGCAATTTCATGCTCACAAAGCCGCTGAGCTCTGAGGAGGCGGATCGGCGGGCGCACCTTGGCTACCCCTATGGCAACATGTGGCCATCCCCCGTGATCCCGGCAAACCACTATGTGTCGGGCGATACAGAGCGCCGGGGCGTCGCTGCTCTGTCGTCCCGAGATCGACCTCGAACCAGATCGCAGGTTTCGAACCAGACTTTTTGTATTCGCCAATGGATGCAGCTGACGGGCACTCCCGGCCCTCTTAGGTTTATGGGCGAGAGGGGTCTCGCCGGCGCGCTCCGGGCCTTGGTCCGAGACCTTGTGGACGAGGAAGCGGCTGGCGTTGGCATAGGCGGCCTTGGGTTTCATATTGGCGAGGAGCTCATCACCTACTCGACCCTCGATCCGGCTCTCTACACGCCGACCCCGGAAAAGCCATGGAGAGGCATCTGGGTCGGTGACTACAGCGGGCACGGCTGCGAGTTTCTGTTGATCCATCAGCCGGACGATCCACCAGCCACCGACGCCGAGCTGGGAGTTTTTCGCGACGAAAACGACAGCGACGAGGCGTGGGAGCAGAAGAGGCTGGACGCCAGGGTGTACAGAGGCCGCTTGGAGGGCATCAAGTTAACGGGCGACCCCAATGTGCCAAGGGGCGAATACACCTTTGTGGTCAACGACCTGGGGCCTGATGGCCTCGTTGGAACAGCCACAGACGCCCAGTTCGCCGGGGCCAGGATGGTCAAGAGCGAAGGCCACATTGCCGCCACTGGCTTTCTCAGAGGTATGCGAGAGCCCTTTTTGTCGCCGTTTATACTTGACCTGTTGCGAAACTAACAATTTGGCGACAGATAAGTTCATTGAGAGCCAGCTGATCCTCATCAGCCACGACAAACTCGCGCAGCACTGGGTTGGCTTCGGACACATTAGCTTTTTGCAGAGGGTTAATATCGATCAGTTCCTCACGCCCTGAACTGAAGAGAGATAGAGAGAAAGGGTCGATAAGTAAGCTGAACTACGGCTGAACGATGGCATATATGGAAGGGCGTTACAATCTTTACAGCAGACGGTTTTACAACGATACCCGCTATGGTGGAACATGGCCATTTTCATTGATTTGATTTTCTTAGGGAAAGGGGAATGCACGGCTTGCTAAGATGCTAACGATGGATGATGCGAGGGACTTGAGGCTGCCTGCCTAAGTAGGCTTCTTACAACTGACTGTACGAGAGCAGGTAACTCGCCAATCTATCAATGGAAGCTTTTTGAAAGTTGTGTTATGTGACCGTCTGTCTGGTTGACGATTTTGACCGCAGAGTCAAGGTCATTGTGAGAGAAGGCTAAACGTATCTTCTAGTTTAATTGTGAAGGAAGCTCTTCATCCCTGTTCCTCCATCCATGTGAGTCTCCCTGTGCATGAGTGGAAGATAGAGAATACATGCTAATGCCACGTCCAGGCTGTGGTACGAGATCGAGATGCATAGGTGACTGCGGTCAACACTAAATTCGCACAAATTCACCAGCAAACTCGCCACGAAACGATCATTGCAGTCAAAGAATTCATAAGATGTGCGCCTATCTGACTTCATATCTGAAAAAAAGGACCTCAAGAACAAAACATGCCAGCATTTACGATAAAAGAGCGTAAGGATCCTCATACCATCATCACATCTTTACTCCTGAAAGGTGCTCCTCAGAGGCAGTCCGTCGTCGTACTTGCCCTCCTCCTTCTTCATGTGCTTGTCGAAGCTCTGCGTCGACATCTGCACCTTGTCAAACAGTCTCCTGTCCAAGACGGGCGCAGCAGGCGGCAGCTGGCCCTTTGCGCGGGCGGCATCGGCGTCCTTGGTGTAGTTGTGCAGGGCCAGGCTGGAGGCGATCTGGAAGGCGTTTCGGATCTGGCGGCCGTTCCAGCAGCCGGTGGAGCGGGCGAGGTCCTCGTAGTGCTTGGCGGCGAAGTCGAGGATCTCGTCGTCCTTGATGGCGAGGGCGGGCTCGCCGGTCATCTTGTGGCGCTCCGACTCCATGATCTTGAGCTTGGCGATGTTGAGGCGGAAGATCTCGGTGGTCTGGGTCTTGTCGAGGGGCGGGTAGTAGAGGGAGAGGTGGATGCGGGACTTGAAGGCCTCGTCGATGGTGCCGACGCGGTTGGTGGTGAGGAAGAGCAGGCCGTTGTAGTACTCGAGGACGCGGAGGAAGACGGAGACGAGGGCGTTGCGCGTCATGTCCTGCTTGGAGCGCTGCGAGAGGAAGACGTCGGCCTCGTCGAGCAGCAGCACGCAGTCCCACAGGTGGGCCAGGCGGAAGACGTTCTTGAGGCGGGACTCGACCTCGTACGGGGACAGGCCGAGGTCGCCGCAGGTGATGACGAAGAGCGGCTTCTTGTTCTCCATGGCCACGGCCTCGGCGGTCGCCGTCTTGCCCACGCCGGGGACGCCGTGGAGGAGGACGACGAGGCCGCGGCCCTTGCCCTGGATGAGGTCCTGGCCGGGGCCCTCGGTGGCGGCGTCGACGTAGCGGCGCTCGAGCTGCTTCTTGCGGAAGTGGGACATGACCAGGCTGCGGACCACGTCCTTGTAGTCGCCGTGGATGCGGAGGCTCTCGAAGACGCCGGCCTCGCGCCGGACGGGCTTGAGGAGGTTGAGGTCGATGGGCATGAAGCGGCGCTCGCGCAGGGCGTAGGCGAACATGCGCTTGGGCAGCAGCACGAGGTCCTCGTCGCGCAGCTTGAGGGCCTGGGCGTTGGCCTCGAAGTTGCGGGTGCCGCGCAGGCGGTTGCGCAGAAAGGTGTCGACGGCGAGGTTGTCGCGGCGCTGGCGGCTCTCGACGCCGTCGGCCTTTTGGATAATCTCCTTTTGCACGTACGAGCGGTTCTGGCGGGTGCCGTCGAACCACTTCTGGATGGGCATCTCGTCGTCGGAGATCTCGCAGCGGATGGACTTGTTGACGGCCAGCTGGTGGAAGTCGGGCCGCCAGTTGGGCATCTTCTGGTAGGCCTCGGTGAGGTCGACGATGACGTCGCTCTCGACGAACTCGGGGTGGCGCATCTTCTCGTAGTACTCGTTCTCGAGGATCTCCTGGTCGGGCTCGTGGCGGTGCGAGGGCGGGTTCCGGGTCAGCGTCCAGGCGTTGTGCTGCTGGTGGCGGTCCTCGAGGTAGCGCAGGAAGCGGCGGCCCTGGTCCTTGAGCCCCTCGATGAGCTCCTCGTGGCCCGGCTGGTAGCGCAGCGGGTAGCAGGGCAGCGAGTCGATGGAGCGCTCGCCGGCAAAGGCCTCGATCTCGAACTTGTTCTTGACGGCGCCAAAGGTCGAGCCGTCGTGGTCGACGTAGTAGGCCGAGATCTTGAACTTGTTGGAGTCGTCGACGTCGTCGTACTCGTCGAAGAAGCCCCAGCCGTTCTTGGGGTACGACGTCTCGGGCTGCGGCGCCTGGACGCGGTAGATGCGCCAGACCTCGTGGTAGCGGCCGCCGGCCTCGACGGCCGCGGGCATGTGGATGAGGTCGCCGACGCGGAACAGGGACCACAGGTCGTCGAACTTGACCTTTTCGGCCGAGCTGTCGTCGAAGCGCGCGTACAGCGGCATGATCTCCTCGTCGATGAACTTGACGTAGCAGCGCATGTCCCGGAGGGCCTCGGGGCTGTCCATGACGCCGTCAAAGTCCTCGTCGGCGTTGGAGTCCACCGAGGCGAGGGACTCGGTGTCGGACTTGTCGTCGTCATCGTCGCCGTCCTCCTCGGCATCAGAACCCTCGGCAGCGGCGTCCTTGGGGGGAGCCTCGACGAGGACCTCGGCCTCATCGCTGGTGGCGGTGTCAGAGCCCTGCTCGTCGAGCTCCTCGTAGTCGGCCCACTTCTCCTCCAGCGTGGCGAGGACCTCGCGCATCTTGGGCTGGAAGTACACCAGGGCCTTGAACGGCCGCATGAAGGTGCGCGGAGTCGACCGCGACTCGGTGTCGTTGAGGAGAGACGTCAGGTGTCCGAGGACGGGCTGGGACTGCACGCGGATGCGCTGGATCTCGGTGTCGGAGGGCAGCAGCTCGTTGCGCTTCTCGCGCTTGACCTTGTCCAGAGGATCAATCTTCTTGCTGTTGCGGCCCAGGTCGCCGCCGTGGCGGTCGCCGTGGTGGCCGTAGAGGCTGTACCAGCTCTTGCGGACGCGGGCCGTCTCCTCGCTGCGGCGGAGGGCGCGCTCGCGGCGGATCTGGCCCTGCAGGCCCGGCCCGGCGACGAGGACCTCGACGGCGTAGTCGGGCTCGTCCTCGGCCTGGAAGCGGTTCTTGAAGTTTTCAAAGTTGACCTTGCGGACCTCGGGGATCTTGGGGCGCCACTTGGCGGCGACGCGGCGGCGGTCGGCGAGGATGCGCTCGCGCCGCTCGGCTTCCTCCTGGAGGGCCATCATGTCGAGGTCGTGGGGGCCGTAGGAGCGGGCGGAGCGACCGCCGCCGCCGGTGCCGAAGCCGCCGTTGCCGCCTCCGCGTCGGCGGAGGGTCTTGCCGGTGGTCTGCTTTGTGCGAGCCATTGCTGCGGTTTTCTGGTGATT